AAAACAAAGTGCATGACAGCTGATAAAACAATTCCAATTTACAAGCTGCAAATCACTCAAGTTACGGGGCTTGTACATCTTGGTCGCAGGCTATCATCAAAAAGCAATGTTCGCTGGGCGACATCACATCGCTCTGGGTTGGACAGTTTTCAAAAGGAACAAAGAAGTTCTAACATCAAACCGAGTTTCTCATCGTTTGAAGGTTGAGGTCATTGAAACTTACATCCTGCCAGTCGTGTTAGATGGTTTTAGTTGTGTTAGCTGGATGGCAAATTCACTTCAAAAGGTCGCTACATTCCCGAACCACATCAAGAGACAAACGCCTCAGCGACCATATCTCTATCAATGGGCTACTGAAGATTACGAAGCTTCAGCCAATTATATCAGATATCAAGTCAAGAGTACACACACAAAACACACAGATATATATATATATATATATATATATATATATATATATATATATATATATATATATAATGAAAAACCAGACCACTTTAAGGTACCATTACAATAATTTATTTCACCAAAATCCTTTTGAAAGACTCCGGATCATCAGGTAACACTTCCAACAACGAAATGAAAAGAAAAATGGGATTAGAAATTGATGGGTAGTGTAATTTTTGTAATTTAACAGGGAGGGCGATAGTTGTAGTTAACGAGACAAGGTAGATTATAGAGAGGGGTAAAATTCATATTTCTTTTAAGCATGTTTTATATTGGGGTAGGAGGAGTGACCTAATCGTGACCTATTTAGATGGTTAACTTAACGGAAATGATATATAGGAATGGGAGGGTAGTGGGGGGAAAAGAAAAGGAAAAATGGAAAGGAGATAGACAACAGTAATACAGATATATCTAAATGAGTGTTACGGCAAAGAGAGAGGGGGAGAGGGAAGTGAATCGAAAAGGCGGTAATTTTTTTTTAACATTTTATGTAAAAGATAGATTTCAATGCTTGATAGAAATTTAGATGTCTAAAAAATGATGAATGTTATCAATTTAAACATTTAGTTTTTTAAGTAAAATAGTTTAGGGACTTAATATAAGTTAACTACTATTTTTATTAGCACATTAGGGATTTAATATAAGTTAACTACTTTTTTTATTAGCACATTTATCGAGAACATATTAAAGAAATATTTAAAATTATAATAGTTTATTTACCCGACCAATTGTACTTTCATAATATTGTAAAAGAAATTTTGGTAACAATAACATCTATATTAGTTTTACTTTAAATCTAATTTATGAATGCAATTTTTCGTTATTATTATATGGGTAAACTTAAGGTTTAGGTTTCATTATTTAATAATATTTGTATAATATATATATATATATATATATATATAATTATGAAAGCTGAAAGTAAAGGCATTTAGATATGTTTGCCCAGTAACTTCAGAAAGTTTTGCAAATCAATTCTAGAGTAAGTCATGATGGCCAAATCATCTGCATAACGCATTCCGAATATACTGGCCAAACATGCACTAGAAGTTGGCTTAAACATCAACATTTCCAAAACAGATGATCTGACCATCATGAGTTACTCTAGAGCTGATCTCCAAACATACACTAGAGGTTTGGTTTCCAAAACAAATTGCATGACAGCTGATAAAAAGAAATCCAATCTACAACCAGTAAATCGCTGAAGTTGTGGGGCTTGTAGATCTTGGTCACAAGCTATCATCAAACAACAATGGAATGATTGCTGGACAGCATCACATCGCTCTGGGTTGGACAGCTTTCAACAGTAACAAAGAAATGCTAACATCAAAACGAGTTTCTCATCATTTGAAGGTTCCGAGCATTGATACTTACATCCTGCCATTTGTATTATATGGTCGCAATTGTGTTAACTGTATGAAAAATTCACTTTAAAAGCTCGCTACATTCCTGAACCACATCAAGAGATTTATGAGTAACAAACGACTCAGCAACCATGTCCTTATCAATGAGCTAATCAATAGAAGATAAGTTTGCATTTTATGGTTTGCTACTACTACTGCTACTATATATATATATATATATATATATATATATATATATATATATATATATTGAACAATAAGAAAATTAAAATTAAAAATTAAAATCATTAGACACACTGGGTTGTAGATTAATATTCTTTCGTTTTTTATTATTATTATTATTCCATTTAGATTCCTCGACTAGTTTCGACCGAAATGGCCATCATCGGGAGGCGAAATATTTCTGCTTGTTGTTGGCAAGGAACTACAGAAATGAATGTCTTTTTGTTGGAGAAAATGAACTTTTTGTCTGTAGTTTTCATTTGTTTTTTATTTTTTATCTTTTTCACATGAATCTTTTAACATTCCTTGTGTTGGTCAAACAGTCTCTTTTAAGTTGTTATTTGAGATAAGAACTGGATGGATACATTTTATCCTGAATTCTCTGGTCAGTTTGACAGTTTTATTGGACCTGGTGAGGGGATGTGTCTCTGTTTCGTGTTTGTGTGTGTGTTATTTGGTTCTTAGGGAGTGAGTGAGTATGATATGTGTAAGCGTGTGTATTGCTGTAAGTGTGTGTTATCATTTGGCTCATTAGGGAGTGAGTGAGTATGGTGTGTGTACGTGTGTATAATCGTGTGGGTGAGTGTATAAGTGTGAGGCCTCCATTCCTCCTTAAGCATGTCTGTCTTGTGTGGGTGAGAAATGTGGGTAGGTTTTGATTTGTTGATTGTTACTATTATATGTTGTTAAATTTATGATTTAGCCTTTGCTGGGTATTGTTTTTTAGACGTTGTATCCACTTATTTTCATGGGACATATATATATATATATATATATATATATATATATATATATATATATATATGAATTACATGAATTTCCAAAAAAAAAGATAAAGTTTAATGATTTAAATGGTGAGAACACATCTTCGCAAACAATTTCAATAATTTAAATCATTAACCTCTATATTTGTTTTTTTGTATGAATGAGCCATGTAATTATAAATTAAACTGCACCTATAATCGAAATATATATATATATATATATATATATATATATATATATATATATATCGAGTATGGATAGGAATCCGACAAAATGATAGGATAAAGAACAAATAGGAAATAAGTCGTAATCTAACATGTTTCACGTTATTAAAACTTCGTCAGACATCAAGATAGATATGATAAAAAATGATAAAAATCAAAGAGATACAGATTAATAGTGTGTTGTGTTTGGTTATTTCTTATTGGTTGGATACGTGTCACGTGTAATAAAGTAACCGATAATATTCAAATATGTGTGACAAACATTCTGGACACTAAAGCGTGTAAATTTTACTGAGATGAAGTAGGATGTTTTTGTTTGTTATTACTTATTAGTATAGATACGTGTCGCGTGTAATGAATTAACAGATAATATTCAAATAAGTCTAAGAAAACATTCTGGATGCTAAATTGTGTAAAATTTATTGAGACATTGAAGGATGTTTTGAAAAAAAAATGTTTGATTTTTTTTATTAAAGTATGTCTCGCATATTGATTTTTTATGTACTGGGAAGAGATAATGTACATTCATGAATAATGGATCTGTAGAAAAATTGTGACGTAATGTAGTTTTTTAATACTTGGCAATATTGCTATAAATATATTTTCATAATATTTTCTCATTAAAGGGCTATGCTCCTTTTTGATAAGGTTGACTTAGGAGTATAAGACAAGAGAAGTTGAATGTTTATCTAACCGCAAATCTCTTTTGTGTTCCTGGATGCGATACTTTAGATTGCGTGAAGTCCCCCCCCCAGTGTACATGTTATTGCAATGTAGACATTGGATTTGATAAACACCGACAGTTAAATTGTTTTTTATTTTATTTTCATCATGATTATATCCCCGATAGCTTTGGGGGTGGTTGTAACAATCATCATATTAATGATGACTAATTCATTTGTGAGTTTAGAAGTGTTGAAGTGTTGGAGAGTAGGATTATGGATTTTGTATAATATTTGTTGGAAGTATTTGTTTGGTTTGATTGATTTTGTGACCTTGTTTTTGCATTTAAGATGAAATGGTATGGGTAGTGCAGAAGCTTGAACGTGTTCTCAATATAATCCTCTAATGTATTCGGGGCTACACATCCTAAGGGGTCTAAGGTAAAATCCTATAATTATTCCAGATTTTTTCTCCGGTTGTGGTGGGAATAGAAATTGATCAGGTCATTTTTTTAGTGAGTTTATAGTATACTTTTGAATTCTAATTTATTATCGTTACCTATTAATAGGATATCGAGAAAAGTTTCAAATTTGTGTGTGAATTCGATAGTTTAACATTATTGAGTGTGTGTGTGTGTGTGTCTGTCTAATCACCTCCATACACAGCGTGTCTAACACACACACTGAAATTATTTTTTATAGCGATGTTCACCCTGTACAAGGCTCGGTGATCACTCGAGGTAGAGTGTTACAGAGTGAGCAGCAGAGTTTATCGGATATGTGGGGAATAAACGGTTAAATCTAGACATGGACAGATTAAGATTGTAGTAATCGGGGAAACATCCACTTGGGAATCGGTTCCACGGAGCAGTGGTTTCCGGGAAGAAGATTTCTGTGCGGAACTTACTTCTCGCCGATGGAATATGAAGTGAATTTGGGTGGTTTGCTACAATGTTAGTGGTGTGACGATAAAGCAGAGAAAGGCTTGAGGTATTGAGTGTGTTGCTTTGTATATGATTCCTTTTGTGTTCGTATAAACTTTTATTTAAATTCCTTGAGGTTTCTCCTATGTAAGTTCTCAAGTGATGCGGTGATGTCATTTGGTGCAGTTTTTTTATTGTGATTTTGTAGCGCCAGTCCATAAGGTTTGACGAAGTATGGTCATCATCAAGTTCAACAGCTTTCGTTCGCTCAAAGCCATTTTTAATAAATTGATCACTGAAAGCCATTGCGCATAATAGACAATTTAGATATTTCTGAACGGGTTTGGCGTCATGTTTGACACCCATGAGTAAGTCTCGATCTGGCGAGGCTATTTAAGCATACGGACATCTTTTTACAGCAACAAAACAAGAAAGAAAGAGAGAAGGAAGGAGAGGGAGAGGGGATGAGAAAAAGTGTGAAAGGAAGAGAGAGGAGGGAGAGAGATAGAAATGAGAGAGAGAGAGTCGTTGGGCATCAAGAACGAAGGAAAAATCCTGAGTCAAGAGAAATGGGGGAGGAGTGAGGGCGAGAGGGAGGGAGTAAGAGAGTGTGAAATAGAGATGGAGCTGGTGAGAGAGAGGATGGGAGAGAGGGAGATTGTGGGAGACAAAGAGGGGAGGGGAGAGAGACGAGAGAGAGTTGAGAGTAAAGAGAATATGGAAAGAAGGGAGAGAGGGAGGGAGAGAAAGTGTGAATGATGGTGACTGAGGAGTGATAGAAAGAAGGAAAAGAGAGTGAGGGGAGAGAGAGGAGAAAGAGGAGAGAGAGAGGAGAGAGAGAGAGAGAGAGTCAGTGGGAATCAAGGACGAAAGAAAAATCTTGAGTCAACAGAAAAGGAAGGAGGAAGAGAATGTGAAGGCGAGATGAAAGGGGTGAGAGAGAGAGAGAGAGGAGAAGAGAGAGAGGGGAGATGGAGAGAGAGACGAATGAGAGAGAGCATTCAAAAGTAAATAGAAAATGGAAAGAAAGGAGAGATAGAGTGAGGGAGGGAGTGTGAGATACAGAAAGAGAGAGAGTGAGGGATAGTGAGAGAGGGAGAGGGAGTAAGAGAGTGAAGGGATAGGGAGGGAGATAGATAGGAGAGAGAGAGAGAGAGTCGTCGGGAATAACGAACAAATAAAAAACCTGAGTCAAGATAAATGAGAGAGGAGTGAAAAAAAGAGGAGTGAGTGAAAGAAGGATAGAGAACGGAAGATGGAGGGAAAGAAAGAGGGGAAGAGAGAAGGAGAGAGAGAGAGACGAGAGAGAAAGACATTGGGAGTAAAGAGAAAATGAAGTGGGAGCGTGGAAGGGAGACTGAGTTAATGAGTGAATGTGAAAGAAGGAAGGAGAGGGAGTGAGGGATGCTGAAAGGAGAGGAAGTGAGAGAATGAGGGATAGTGAGAGGGAAGGTGAGAGAGAGAGTGAGAGAGAGAGAGGTGGGGGAGTGTTGTTGGGAATCAAGGACGTAAGTTAAATTCTGAGACAAGAGAAAACTAGTGACTTCCTGAATCAGTTGAATTTGTTTTGTTTTGATTTTCTTTCATAAACGGAAACGCAATTTGTAACATAGATTTCTCTCCAGTTTCATTTAGATCCTCTTTCCATCTGTCGTTTAGCAAAACGTTATTTTTAGATATTTTTCTAGACCCCCCCCCCCAAAAAAACAAAAACCAAGACAAATTAAGCGCCAAAACATTTTAAGCAATCACCTTGCGAGATTAGAGTGTCGTGCTGTCCGTCTGACACCGGGCCTTTTTCCTTCTTCCTTATTTGTCTGATGTCTTCGGATGGTAAGCCCTAGTCTTGATTTGGTTACAAGTGTGATCAAAGCCAGAATCCTCTTGGAATCCTCTTGCTTACGAAATGATTACAGCAAGGTAATCTTGACACTTCTGTGTTTGGCGATTTCACATTTAATATTGATGTAGTGATATATTTCGACACTCTCAATAGCCTGGCAGAGGAAGAGGAATTAGACAGCTAAAAAGGGGGGAAGAGAGAATTAGAAAAAGAATGGGGAAGTGGAAGAGATAAAAAAGTAGAAGAAGAAGAAGAAGTGGTGAGTGGGGCAGCCAAAGTCTCAGAATGAAAAGAAAGCGATAAAATAATACAGGAAAAAGAGAGGAAGAAAGATGGAGAGAATAGAGAGATATAATATATGAAAGATAGAAAAGGGCTATTGAGAGAAAATAAAAAAAAGGAAAAAAATGAGAAAGAAGAAGAAGAAGAAGAAGAAGAAGAAGAAGAAGAAGAAGAAGAAGGTGAGTGGGGGCAGCCAAAGTCTCGGAATGAAAAGAAAGCGATAAAATAATACAGGAAAAAGAGAGGAAGAAAGATGGCGAGAATAGAGAGATATAATATATGAAAGATAGAAAAGGGCTATTGAGAGAAAATAAAAGGGAAAAAAAGATGAGAAAGAAGAAGAAGAAGAAGAAGAAGAAGAAGAAGAAGTGGTGAGTGGGGCAGCCAAAGTCTCAGAATGAAAAGAAAGCGATAAAATAATACAGGAAAAAGAGAGGAAGAAAGATGGAGAGAATAGAGAGATATAATATATGAAAGATAGAAAAGGGCTATTGAGAGAAAATAAAAGGGAAAAAAAGATGAGAAAGAAGAAGAAGAAGAAGAAGAAGAAGAAGAAGAAGAAGAAGAAGAAGAAGAAGAAGTGGTGAGTGGGGCAGCCAAAGTCTCGGAATGAAAAGAAAGGATAAAATAATACAGGAAAAAGAGGAAGAAAGATGGCGAGAAATAGAGAGATATAATATATGAAAGATAGAAAAGGGCTATTGAGAGAAAATAAAAGGGAAAAAAAGATGAGAAAGAAGAAGAAGAAGAAGAAGTGGTGAGTGGGGCAGCCAAAGTCTCAGAATGAAAAGAAAGCGATAAAATAATACAGGAAAAAGAGAGGAAGAAAGATGGCGAGAATAGAGAGATATAATATATGAAAGATAGAAAAGGGCTATTGAGAGAAAAATAAAAAGGAAAAAAAAAGATGAGAAAGAAGAAGAAGAAGAAGAAGAAGAAGAAGAAGAAGAAGAAGTGGTGAGTAAGGGCAGCCAAAGTCTCAGAATGAAAAGAAAGCGATAAAATAATACAGGAAAAGAGAGGAAGAAAGATGGAGAGAATAGAGAGATATAATATATGAAAGATAGAAAAGGGCTATTGAGAGAAAAATAAAAAGGAAAAAAAAGATGAGAAAGAAGAAGAAGAAGAAGAAGAAGAAGAAGAAGAAGTGGTGAGGGGGGCAGCCAAAGTCTCAGAATGAAAAGAAAGCGATAAAATAATACAGGAAAAAAGAGAGGAAGAAAGATGGAGAGAATAGAGAGATATAATATATGAAAGATAGAAAAGGGCTATTGAGAGAAAATAAAATGGAAAAAAAGATGAGAAGAAGAAGAAGAAGAAGAAGAAGAAGAAGAAGAAGAAGAAGAAGAAGAAGAAGAAGTGGTGAGTGGGGCAGCCAAAGTCTCAGAATGAAAAGAAAGCGATAAAATAATACAGGAAAAAGAGAGGAAGAAAGATGGAGAGAATAGAGAGATATAATATATGAAAGATAGAAAAAGGCTATTGAGAGAAAATAAAAGGGAAAAAAAGATGAGAAAGAGAAAGAAGGAGTAAAAAGGATGGGAACGTGTAAAAGATGAGAAGAAGAAGAAGAAGAAGAAGAAGAAGAAGAAGAAGAAGAAGAAGTGTAGAGAATGAGGTAGCCAATGTCTCGAAATATAAGGAAAGCGATAAAACAATAGAGGGAAAAAGAGAGAAAGAAAGATGGAAAGAAGAGAGAGGTAGAAGAGGGAGAAGATATGAGAGAAAGATGAAGGGTTATTGAGAGAAAATTATAAGAAGAAAAGACGAGAAAGAGAAAGTGGGTGTGAAAAGACTGAGAAAGTGCAAAAGATAAAAATAGATGATGATGATGATGATGATGAAGTAAAGAGAGTGAAACGGCCAAAGTCCAAGAAGGAGAAGGATAGAGTAAAGAAGGATAAAAAAAAGAAACATATACGAAGAGAGATATAGAAATCGATAGATAGAGAAAGGGAGAAACAAAAGATGAAGGAAGAGAGGAACACAGCCAAGAAGAAAAAGGCGAAGAAGAGAAAAAATAGAGATTAAAAAAAAAAAAAAAACAAGAGAGAAATAGAGCGTTAGAAAGAATGAGAAGAGAGAGAAAAAAAAGAAAGGAAGAGAGATATAGGGAGGAGGAGATACAACAAGAGAAAAGAATGAGGGAGACATTGAAAGGCAAATAAAAATAGGGAAAAAGAAAAGTGAAAGAGGGAGAAAGAGGAGTGAGAAACACAGAGAGAGAAAAATTGATAGGGCAAGAGAAGGGGAGAAAAAAAAAAGGTGGCAATTTATAAAGAACTGGAGGGGTAAAGAAAAGGAGGACAGAGAAAGGGATATGGAGAGATAGAAATAGAAATTTGAAGGGGACGAGAAAGCGAGCAAGGAAAAAAAAAAGAAAGGTCGAAGCTAGAAGAGAAAGTGTGGGAGAGATATAGACAGGGATTGAGATAAAAAAAAAAGTAGTGTGCGTGTGTGAGAGAGAGAGGGGGAGGGGGAAGGGAGAGAGGAGGAGGGGAAGGGGGAGAGAGGGAGGAGATATGAGAAGGGAGATAGGGGAGGGATAGAGAGGGGGGGGAGAGGGAAGAGAGAGGGGGAGGGAGAGAGGGGATGGGGAGGGAGAGATAGGGGAGGGGGAGAGAGGGGAGGGAGACGAGGAAAGTAATAGTAAGGAAGATAGAAAGAGAAGGTGAGGAGGAAAAGGGGGGCGTGAGAGAGAAAATGTATTGCCTCTGATATTGCAAATATATGCCTTGAAAATCAGGCAACTCGTGTGTAGTTACGAATTTAAGTGATGCTGAAAGAACAAAGCTATTATATCTAAATTATTTGTCTATACCTTGGAGATGGGGTATTATGATTACTTGCATTATTTACATTTATCCGATCACCTGAAGAAGGCCGGAGCATGCATCGGCCGAAACGTTGTGAATATGACAATCAAGATGAAGATAACCGTAAAATTCCAGTCACCTGAAGTAGGCCGAGTCGTACAACGACCGCAAAGTTGTGAATATGGCAATTAAGTTGAAGATAACAGTAAAATTCCAATTATCTGAAGAAGGCCGGAGCATACAACTGCCGAAACGTTGGAAATATGGCAATCAAGATGAAGATAATAGTAAAATTTCAGTCACCTGAAGTAGGCCGAGGCGTACAACGGCCGAAAATTTGTGAATTTGGCAATCAAGTTGAAGATAACAGTAAAATTCCCATCACCTGAAGAATGCCGGAACGTACAACGGCCGAAACATGTGAATATGTCAATCAAGATGAAGATGACCGTAAAATTCCAATCACTTGAAAACGGCTGGAATGTACGACGGCCAAAACGTTGTGAATACGGCAATGATGATGAGGATAATAGTTCGAATAATGTAAATAAGGCAAAGAATCTAAATTACTGCCAGTGATTTTATGAAATAAATGCATTGAAAATCAGAAAGAAACTTTTGTCACTGGTCAATTATTTTGAAAGCGTCACTGAGAGAAATATCATTTCTAGTGATTCTACAAAATAAATGTATTGGAATACAGAAAGATAAATACGGGGTCCAGAGATTAATTTGACTACTACGGAAAGGGCGGGGCTTATAATATATAAAATGTAAATGTCATGCTAATTTGAATGCATTGAAAATAAGAAATTCAATAAAGTGTTACTGAGATAATATAGCTATTATAAGTTTTACTGAGGATTTTATAATGTAAATTCATTGAGAACCAGAAACAATGTCAGTAAATTCTAAGTGTTACTAATAGAATATATTACACCCTTGCGCAAATTATTATCTATCTATCTATCTATCTATCTATCTATCTATTTAAGCCTGTTCATTATGCCAACTAAGTCTTCTCGAATATTCAGGTCGGTAAACGATAATACTTAAATAAATAAATATATTGTTTAATAAATAAACGGGGCGTCTATTCAAATATGAGTATCAACTAAAATGAAGTTTCATTAAGACACAGCTGTCGGATTAATAAATAAACAATCCATTCCTTTCTTCACACGCGCACACACACACACAAACACACACACACACATATCAATGTACAGTCCATTCACTTTCTCTCTCTCTCTCTGACTCTACTTGTCCATCTGTACCTATCTCTGCATATCTATTCCCAAAATGCTAATCACACTCTATCTATCTATCTATCTATCTATCTATCTATCTATGTAGGCACACACACACGGGCGTGCCCACATTTATCTATTCTCTCTCTCTATCTAACTCTCTCTCTCTTTCTCTCTCTCTATATATATATATATATATATATATATATATATATATATATTCGTCACTCCACATTATCAAACTCAACTTGTCCATTTTAATCTACCTTTCATTATTTCACTGTGTATGTATCTCACGGTATATCTATTGCTCAGCTCTCCCTATCTATCTATCTATCTATCTATCTATCTATCTATCTATCTATCTATCTATCTATCTATCTATCTATCTCTGTCCTTGTGCAAATTAATTGAAGGAAAACAAATAGTTCCATTATTATTCTTTTTTTTTTCGTATTTTTCCGGTGAAACATGACCTATTGTATATGTTTAGTCCTTCGTATGTCCATTCCACGAAGTCGTTCCGTGCAGATTGGATTTATATCAGAAGAGTTTCCGGGACAGTAAGTAGTACTTTGATTTGCTCACTGGTAAGAATTGTGAGTGTGTTTGTGCAGCGTTACAATTTTCGTACGCTTCCTTGGAGTATCGCAGAAAATGGCCGACACATTGTAATAAATATGGCGAAAAACATGAGGACAATAGTCTGAATAATGTAAATAATGTTGATAAAACATTTGCTTAAAAAACTGTATATAATATTTGAATAATTAATATTCATAATGATCAAGCGAATTAATTGATAATATTGATTTTTTCCTAAACAGGTCACCACTTAAAAGCAATACAGCGTAGTCAGCGTTGCTATTCTAGCCATGATATATATATATATATATATATATATATATATATATATATATATATATATATATATATATATATATATATATAATGAATATAGAAGTCAACACTTAGAGGTCACAGTCGGTTTCAGGCTAGATGCAATCGTTACACACACACACACACACACACACAAACACACACACATATTTATATATATATATATATATATATATATATATATATATATATATATATAGTGATCCGTTGTTGTATAATCCAAGTGGATCCTATGATCATATCCACCTAGGTGGATGATGGTCTGTTAATTCTGATCGTATGATATATATATATATATATATATATATATATATATATATATATATATATATATATAAGTGAACATAGAAGTCAACACTTAGAGGCGGCATTCTGTTTTATGCTAGATGCAATCGTTACACACACACACATACATATATATATGTGTGTGTGTGTATGTTTGTGTGTATGTGTGTGTATGTATATATTTTATATAACATTAACGCAAAAAAATGTTAAAAATCGCGACACAATAGCAATCGTATTTTAACACTACAAATGTTTCTCCTCCGGTGATGGTAAATTACTGACGAGTGAACGATTAATTTAATTTCAAAAGTAGAATACTTCCTCTTCTTTCGAAAAAATATATACGGATTAATGGAAACCCCCGAGAAATATTCTCATGCAGGAAACTACAACTTTAAATTTAATCTCCCCAGTCTCTCAAAAACTCGTAGCCTTATACCAGACTAACCTAATCTTAGAACCTACATACATAGAAAAAGTAAAAAAATTAAGCGCCCATGGATAAAATATAAAGCAAATGTTCGGACTGGTTGACATTTTCCTAAAAAAAAAAAAAGAAAAAATCTCTGTCTTTCGTCCTATGACCTTTAAAGTCAGGAAATTTTCTTTGATCTCCACAAAGAGTTGCCACTTTTTGATTGTCCGTTGTTCCGGTCCGCTTCACATAAGCGATGTATTGGAAATGGATTCATAATCATTCGAATATGTTGCATAACTTTTGGTACAGTCGCTTCTTTACAAACAAATAACATTATGATGCGAGTTTTTACAAAAAATGGATGAAGGTCGTATGTAAAACTAAACCAGAATGATGTCCTCTGTTTGTTTTCTGACATGTGGATTGCCTGCGAGGTTCTCAAGTAAAGTATATGCTACTTCAAATTTAACTATAAGTTAATTATTGCCACCATCTATGGGTTAATTAATATCTCTTCTTAGTACTGTCAAGCTTTGTAGATCTATTATTACCCTACAGTTTTTCAAACATCCCATTTGGGACATATATATATATATATATATATATATATATATATATATATATATATATATATATATGTGTGTGTGTGTGTGTGTGTGTGTGTGTGAAAATATATAGAAAATAGAAAGGAACTGGTTAAGTAAATAATCCAAAGTTCCTTAGTATTTTAGTTATTATTTTTAAAAAAATAGTGCTCGATACAAAAGTGGAGCATAAATATAATTATTTATTTAAAAATATGATTCCAACTCGCGACATAAGAGGTCTCATGTTTCAAAACAAGAGCCGAAAACTTCAATATAATTATTTGAATTAAATTGAGTTAAAGTAAGCTGTGTTCCATCTTCAAGCGAAATGTTTTTTTGGAATAACGTATTTCTGAAATTTACGTGTTTTAATAATTGAAATCAAAATTTCCATGGTAACAGCTAGGGCGAATTGTTTAAATTGGGCAGGCGTGTGTTGGGTGTTAATAATAAGTATCAGTATAGAGTTACTATATATATATATATATATATATATAAAGCAACACTTACCCCTAGGATTTTGAATCCGGATGGCAGGAAAAGTCAACTAATTAATACTTCTGGCTTTTCAATTGCAAATCATGTTACAAATAGTAGGAATTGTGTCTTTAATTTTAAGGTGGAACGTTTTTCTATTTTATCGAGGTCCCACTCCTGATATCACCCCAAGGTTCTAGAGTCCTTGTATATCAGATGCCGTGGGCCTTCCCTCTTTACAGAGGGAGGGTTTACTGGGTCTGATTGTTATTAGACTTTAGTGTAACAGCAAAATTGTCCAAATCCTGCAACAGCATAATTGCATATCCCACAAAATGATTAATATCTAAAAAAAACAAAAAAAACTGAACTAATTCAGTTTCTTTTTTCCAGGTTTTCAGAAGAGACATTTAGCCATCTTGAGACCATTTGTCTTAAGAATCACCGAAAAACACTTTGAGTTATTAAGCTAGAACGAGAACAGGTTAAAATTCTTCCCAAGTGAGCAATAGTGAGAGGAAAAAGATCATTCAAGCCTTCAGTAATGGTACTAACATTCATACACTGGCTTAAATCTTCAAACTCTATTCAAGAACGGTGAATTAGTTTAAGGAAGAGGGAAACAGTAGAGAGGAAAACTGTATCAAGAGGTCACAACAGCAAGAGGGACCGTAGAGCTAAATACATTATTATTGTTCCAAGTAGGTTTAAATAGTGTTATAAAAACCTCGGAGAATTCCGGTGAGAAATCTTTAATCATGTCTAAGATAGAACCGTTCAAGGCATAATCTAACAATTGAACAATTTTGCTGTTAGACGATTGGGAAAATTTTGTTGTTAGCTCCGGTATATATATCTACATAAGTTATCCGCACATTCCGTATTGGTGTTCGATAAAACACACCTATTAAGTATATATTAATAAATATGCATATTATTTCTCACTTGTAGCACGACTCTCAGTTTCATGCACAACGCAATCTTCAGGTAATGAGAAGAGACTGACCATTACATAATTTCAATTTTAATAATGTATCTGGTTGACATAATGCTGGAGCAGTCCATATATCAAACGGGTATTACAGGTTGTATTTCATATATATATATATATATATATATATATATAAAATATTAAAATAGATGGGATTTATATTTTATAT